CATGAGGTAATATAGTTTTTTCAAGTCAAGTGAAAAACTGGAAAAACCTCTCTTAATATAATATAAGTCTCTATTAGGCCCTGCTAACACTACAACACTATCATGCTACATCCTGATACAAGCATTTTTGGAAAGAAAAAAAAATCCATTGGTTGTGAGAGTTCACGCTGCAGAAACCTCTTAGGCATCCATACCAGATCCTGTTCAGAAACATGAATATGCAAGAGCACAGGTAGAAGTGAGGAAGAAGAAAGGAAGGGGGGAAAAAAGATTCCCCCATTTACAGAATCCTAGAAATCAAAGTGGTGGTGATGAAACACATCCCCTTGCCCAAGGATGCCAGACCCTGTGCGAAGTGAAGATCCCTACACCTGGGATGGGGAAGAAATATGATAGACCCTGGCTTTTATTCACCTCTGACCCCCTTCTCATCCCATCTTCTGGGGCAGCCAGCTACCTCTTTTCCTTCTTTTTTTTTTTGGAAGATGGCTTGCCCAGTCCCCAGAGATCATCTTTAGGATGAAAAGGTAATACTGTGATACCAGGATCAAAGATCAGATACTAAGGTAATATTGAAATGTACTGGCTTTGTGTTGTTGCCCTTAAATAACTGGCTCATAGAAGATAACTCTAGCACTCTTTGCCTCTTTTTTTTTTAACCTTTATTATCCCTCCTTCAGGGCAGAGGGAGTAAAAAAGGGACAGTGTTTCCTGCCCACCCCAAAACAAAACAGATTTTTTTAAAAAAAGTTACAAAAATATTCAAGGTGTTTCCCTTTGAAACGTTTCCACTGAAAAATGAAAAATGTTGACCAACATTATTTTTTGTGAAAATATATTCATTTTGGTCAAAAAGACAAAAATAGTTTCAATCAAAATTTTACCAGTTCTAATGATTAGTATTATGATGCACTCAGGCTCAAACCCCCATTGCTGTAGGTGCTGTGCAAATATATGGTAAGAGATAGTCTTTGGAGCAGGTACTATTATCTAAGAAACTGGTACTTACTGCTCGTTAGCTATAGTTGGGGTTCTTACACACTTTCAGCATGGATCAGCCTAGTGGTTCTTCTGTGAACCATCTCCTTTGTGTTCAATATCACATGACCACCCCCTCCCATTCATAATTGTAAATAATCCTTGTACCAATATCAGCAATTGCTTATGTATTAACAATATTTTAAAATGTATTGAATGTATTGTTAGCTGTCTTTTAATGCAATGCAGTCATTAGAAATAATGCAGATGGGCCCAAACAATGTAAGTAACCAGTCCTCCGCTGACCTCAGTTTGAAAATTTCTAAGCTAAAAGAAGTTCTAATTTAGTTCAAGTAGGAGAGGTATTTTTTTGAACTTGAGGACAAGGGTTCTTGTCTCAACTCCCACTGTGTATGTGTGCAATTTACAGAAGTTAGACACTGATACTGCTTCTAACATAGTTGGTGGCAATATTCCCATTGGCTTTAATGAGGTTAGACTGTGCTCTTTGCTGACAGCAGCACATACATTTGTTATAATAGGCATCTCAGATCTGACAAAGACAGACTTACTGAAATGCAAAAGTAGCACCTAAAATTGTTTTATATTGCCCTAAAGCTGAGGGCAACATGCACACACACTTTTCTTTAACCTCTGGGCAATATTTTTACTCCTGATGTTAGAGACAATCAGGATATATTTTCACTAGATTTTTTTTTTAAGCAATGAAAAGAGAAGTTACAAAAACACAAGATGTTTCCAATTATGTTAACTACTCTGGTGTGTGAGCCTTGTGTGAAAGGTTCCCCAAAGGGCATACAAATCATTAGTGGGAATATTGTTTTCAGTAGATTTTGTTTTCTTTTGATCTCAGAAGTGGAATGAAGCATGAGCACCCTCAGTCTTATGACTTTGGGGGTGATATTTTGAGTCTCATTATTTAGTACTTGGTTGTCACTCTTGTTGAGTAAGCTGAGGTGCTACTTTCTTCTATTTCTGTTGCAGCTGGAAACTGATAAAACAATTTAAAAACCTTCAGAGAATGTATTAATGGTATTTGTGACTAGCATAAAATAGGAGGCTGTATGTAAAGTTTGGCTCTTATTCTTTTCTGTTACAATTTTTTTTCAGTTCCTTTACAAGCTTTCTGTATGTGTAAGAAAATGATTATAGCTTTAGGAAATATCTAGGCAGATTCACCACATGACAAAGCTGGATGTGCGACACTCTCTGTGGATGTGCTTCTGACAAATGACAATATCCTGGACAAATCTTATTGAATTAAGTTAAATCTTATTGGATTAAGTTTAATTATTTTAGGAGGTCATTGTATTAAATATACAAATATTTACATGGTATCGGGGGATAGTCTAAGGAGGAGATGGACCAATGTGCTTCAAAGGATTTTTTTTTTAAAAACAATGGCCCAGACAAGATAGAATTTTTAATTGAGTGAGGTTCCTGGGAAATACTTGGAAAGAGGGGAATGCAAATTACGCAGCTCTGTAGCCTTCCCTTTGAAGTTACGCCTTGACGAGAAACCCGCTGTCTGGCATATTATCTATTCATAGTCTCTTCAAAGGCCCAAACTGGATAAAGGAGGGATTCTAATTTATGGGGGAGGCTAGTTGTGGTTAAAAGTGGTTACAAACTGGTGACCAAAGGTCAGAGACATCCGTGGGGTATGGCAAATCAGGGCAAACACTCTGGGCCTCAAACTTTGGGGGGGCCCTGCGGGCGGGCACCATTGCCTGACGCCGCTGGTCCCGGAAATGACAGATTTGTCATTTCCACCCCAGACCTCTCAGCCCCTAGGGACTGCCCTGCCAAAGGTAAACCTCCTGTGTGGAGTTTAAAGAGCCCTTGTTGGAGTCAGGGGGTGATCTCTGGAAAGCTTATTAGCATACATGTAGGGGCTTTTTAAAATTGTTTTTAGTATGTTTTTTCTGTAATGCTTTCACCTTAAGAATAAATGTGTAGAAAAGCTGTATGATAACTTATAACTGTGGGCAATCACAACTGTTTAGCCTCTCTGAGGAGAGAAGCGAAGCAGGCCTGCTTAGGCAGTCTCCTCTTTGACTGGGGATATCACAGTATAGCGAGGGAACTGTGCAGCCTAGAAATACCCCAGTCAGAAGGGAGAGAAATGCACATCGCCACCCAAGAGAGGTGATGGTTTAGGAGCTGGGAGCCTAGAGTAGGTGCCTTTCTGGCCATTGGAAGGAGAATACAGGTGTAACTGGTGAATACCGAAACTTCAAAGAGAAAAATATAGAGCAAAGCTGAGCAAAGTGTGGGAATATTTTTCAGCATAATTTCACACCAGAATATCTGCTGTTTTGCATCAGGCAAGTTCATTCCACCCAAATTTTGCTTTATCATGAAATTCTAGAAAATAGCTATTTGGTCATCACAAACATGAAAGAAACATACTTAAATTTTTAAAATACAAAACTATATTTAAGCCAGAAAGGGCCTGTGTGGATATGCCACTTCCCTTAAAACAACTAAGAAAGAATATCAGGAATTAGGAACACTTGCCCACTAGAAGAGAAGGAGATGCACTACCTAACAGTCATTTGCAAAATGGCCACATTAGGGAGGCAGCTGCTGCTCTTAGACAAATTTAAAGAGCCATTCCCAGGGCATGCTGGGAGAAAGTTCCTGAGAAGGAAACCCTGTGATGGGGGAGGGTGAGTAGATAATAGGCAATTACAAAGGAAGAAGTTGAGTCTGGGGATAAAATGGTTGTTTGTGTGTTACAACCCTTTGTTACAGGCTTTATTTTTTAATTCATATAAATAAACTTGAACTTCAAGTAGTTTTGCTTTTCTTCTGGTGTAGATTTTAAATAGCTCCAGTAAACAATACAACGGAATGATATTTCCTCTCCCCTTCATTAATTTTAGAGTATCAAAGCAGGTCTCCTTTACATATCATACCTGATTTTTGTTGATTTGTTTGGTTCCTTAACATCTGCTCTCAGGATCTAACTGATATTACCCCATCAATTGCTACAAACTTTAATCTGCAATTTAATAAGTATTCACCTGGCTCAATTGGATGTAAAAAGTAGAGCTAGGAATTCTCTGCTGAAACTATTTTCTGATGGAAAATGCCCTTTTAAACAAAAAATCAGAATTTTCTGTGGGAAAATTTCAATTGCCCAGCTGGAAGGCTCTTGTCACTTTCCAGAAAAAATTCATTTTGGGAGAAAGTGAAATACCTTCCCATAAAAAAGAAAATGGTGAGGTTTTTTTCTTTTCCTTTTTGTCCTGATTTGGGAGAGAAAAAAGGGGATTAGCAGTTTATAGCCAGTTCTATTAGAGAGAACCTTCCAAATACAAACAGTGCTGTATTCTTATTTTTTATTACCATAGTTCTGAAGAACCTAGTCATGGACCAGGGCCCTATTGTGCTAGGTGCTGTACAGAAGAAAAAAATTCCCCCTTCCCCCAAACTCTGAGTCTTTAAGTATATATCTGAAGAAACATGTTCGAAGTATAAAATGCGTATTCATCTCAATTGGATGTTAACTCAGGAAAATTTGCATGTATTATGCTTGTCAATTTCAATGAGCAGTTTTGCAAAACTATATGAAATATATATAATCCTATTTTAAAGATTGTACCATTACATTAGGGAAATATTTTTTGTAGAAGTATCTAGTAAACAACGTACTTACTTTGTGAGTAAATTAATCCACACTGGGACTAATGAACAGAATTGGGTTATGTCACACCAGTTTTCTTGCCACTCAGGAGATATGAAATTGAAAGGGGGGAAAAAATCCCTGTGGTATCCAGAATCCCACTGAGAAAATCTGGGGGTCACTTCACCTCTGATATAATGTGGTAAAACTCCATTTAAATGAAGGGAGTTTATACCAGTGGTGAATACGACTCTTGATTTTCTTATTTCTAGCTGACAGTTTCCTTTGCTGTGTCTATATTTGTAGGATCAGTTGCAATTTAAATAAACCAATGATTCAGTCAGGAATTTGTGACAGTTCCACTCATTAGAAAGGTTGCTCCCTAATTTTATACCTTGTTGGTTCAAACAATATGTACAATTAACGTCAGTAAAATGTCAGTTGAATGTAAACAGATAAAAATCCATAGACAGTGTAGATGTTGTTGTAATACCTTTCACAGTAGAGAGGAAATGATTAATTACAATTTACAAGACATGAAATCAAGTATCCAAAGTTACAGAGTAGGACTAGCAGCTGAATGTTAATGCAGTCAGAAGTAAATTGGATAAGCTTAAAGGAAAAATTGATTTCTTGGGCTGGAACTTGATAGATTTTATATACAAAAACATATACACACAAAGGACTAAATCTTGTTACAAAAAAACAACTCTAGGAAAGTGGGAGTGACAGTTAGCTACTTGCATAAAGGGCTGGGGAGACAGCCTGCTGGCACAAGGCACAATGTCTCACAAGCAAGCACAGAACCTGGAAGGGAACATGTTACTGCCACCTTCGATGGGGTCTTCACCTCCGATGGAAGTATCAAACTGGAATGGATGTAGTTCTTGCTTTGGTTGAGCCACCTAGGCAGCAGTTCTTTATGCATTTCAGTTAGAGTCTTGTCTATCTAGGTGTGATGGCTGCCGTCTTGGTTGGTACACAGGGGATGGAACTAGGCAAAGCCAGAACTAAACGTATGAGTCTGCAGCATGACAATGAAGAAAGCACAATTTCATCATCTCCCTCTCCTGTAGCTCCAGCCAGGTCAACCCTCTCCTTGCCCTCTGCATTAGCATGATTTCTCTTTTCTCAAATTCAAACTCATCTGCCAGCCTACAATGCCTTTACCTCTATCTTATTAGTACTACATTGTAGTGGTATCTAGAAGCCCCAGTCACAGACTAGGCCCCGTTTTGCTAGGCACTGTACATACATATAACAAGACAGTCCCTGCCCCAAAAAGTTTGTTTTCTTTGCCTTTGCTTTCTCTTTCAAAACCAGTTCACACTCTGGCCACTCCTCCCACTCCTTAATGCTCATTTTGTCACTTTCCACTCTTGGCTTTTGCTTTCAAACTGCCTCCTATTACTGTAGCAGTCTTCCTTTTCTTGTGAGACACAGGACTTCTTTCTTCTTCTGATTCCTCCTTCAATTATTTTTCCAACTTGTTCTCTATCTCTGATCTCTCCAATAGTGATTTTCATTAGATCTGGCCAAAGAAATGAAAAAAAAAATCATGATAATTTTCAAAAATATTTTTGCACTGAAGTGGTTTTTTTAAAATTAGTTTGAAAAATGTTCCATTTTTTGCTGAAATTTTTTTGAGTTTGAATCTCTCTCCACTTTCTACTTTTCCCCTAGTTTTCTTTTTTTGCTACTGAAAAAGACCAAAAAAATGGGGGGGAGGCACGGTGGAATTTTTGAAGAAAATGGGGCTATTCACAACATAAAGTACTATGGACTGATATTTCTGTAGTAGTACTCTGCAAGTTCTCATTAATGCGTCAGTGACAGAAAGCAAACGTTATTGCTTTCAGATATGCATAATTTAGCCTTGGTCAATAACCCAAACCCATGGGAGAATGTAATTTGAACAACCAAATAAAAAGACGCACTACTTTAAGATAATTTACATTAAGATCACTATTTCAGTTTTCTTCCTGCCTTTAAAATCTGCCCAGTACCTATGTTTTTTTTAACACAATGTACAGTACATAAAATGACTAAAAAGCCTTATCACAGTTTTAAAATACCTCATGGGGATTAGCATATCTCCAAGCAAAATATTAACTTTTTCACTCATTTTGCCGATGATAATACGAGAACATTTTGGAACATAACACTTATCTTGAACAATAGCTTCCTCATCTGTGTGGCTCATTAAAACACTTTAGTATCCTCTCATAAAAGCTAACAAAAGGAAATAAGGAAGTGTCTATTTTTGCAACCATCTGCAAGAGAATTAAAAAAAAACCTCAGTCCCCTCCCCATACCTTGGAGAGAGAAAAACGTTCTCACTAGTTACACTTCAAAATCAGCCAGGAAAAGGGCAATTTTGTAGATGAAAAACCCCAACTATGTTCAGGGATGTTGAGTACTGGTCAGAGTCCAACTCAGAATTCCTAGCTACAGATGATCATTATACATGGTTCACTACACATGCAGTCCCATAAGGGATTTAAGTTGGGTGAACCTCTGAAGCTTGGGACAAGCTTCCCTGGCTGAGTAACCCACAATTACTTAGCATGGTGCTCTGTCCCCCTGTAATAGGAGCTGGGAGACATTTAAAGTACAGCTACAGAGCACAAGCTATGCATAGGTTAGCCTACCCAGGCTAGCTTGACTCCAGCTAACATGGGTGTGATAGGGTGACCTGCCCCTTTAAGGGCTGGAGGCCTGGAGCTGGCTAGCCACAGTCCAATTAGCCCTCCCTGCCACATGTGGGATGGAGTCTGGCATAGGGTTGCCAATTTTGGCTGGAGGTTTAATCACATGACATAATCTTTAATTCAAGATTAAACTTTAATTCCTGGAGACTCCAGGGCAATCCTGGAGAGTTGGCAACCATAGGTGTGATTAATTAGTAGAACCAGCTGGGTATGGAGGAGCTGATTTTCTTGCAAAGAGCAACATGAAGCTTTGGGGAAGAGAAGACAAGGAATAATAAAATAAGAATTCATAAGAAAACTGTAGTAAGAGTCTCCTATAGGGAAAATGCTGAAGCCAGGGAAGCTAAAGATTACTGTAGGGAAGACTGAGGGTATGTGTACAGAAAAACCCAAGGCACTAAGTCAATTGATCTGGGCTCTGAGACTCAGTGCTCCAGGTTTTTCTATGCAGTATAGACATACCCCTTGAGACTAAGGATGTTGCTCTAGTTAGGAAGGACCCCAAGGCACCAGGTGAATTTGGCACTGATGCCACTTTAAGGATGGGGTAAGACTTTTGTGCTTATTTTTGAGCTTTCATTTAATAAATCAGCTCCTAAGAAGGGCTGTTGTCTCTGGGCTTGTAAAAGCCTGTGTGGAGTTTATAGCAACCCCTTGAAGAGCAACCTGTAACCTGCAGAGCAACCTGTAACCACAAGGTGGATCTTGGGAGGTGGCCAGTTCAGTAACAATGGGTAACAACAAGAGTGAAGACAGCACAACGCAGGCAGTACAAGCCTAGCATGGACCCCCTGGGTATGCACTAGCCACCACTGCACTATCTTCATTGCTATTGTTACATTGGCTAGATTCAAGTTAGCTCAGTTAGGCTAGTCCTTGCACAGCTCTTGTTGTGCCGACATATGCTGAGAGATGGATGAGCCTGCTACAGCCTTAACTAATACAGCTGGGTTTTCTAACTCAGGAAGCAGAACTTCATGCTGAGATCCCCAGTTCAATCCCTCTGCCAATGACCCACCCAACGATATAGTGTCTCAAGGATTTTGTAAAGAATAAGGGGTAGAAACATAGGGACAAACTGTAGTTTCTTTAAAAAAAAAAAAACCAACCAACAACAAATGTCAGTGGTGTTTTTGTGACTATTTGTTTTTATTATTTTAGACAGAGGGGTATTCAAAGCACCCTAACACATGATGTGCTATGAAATTCTTGCCCTCTACATAGTCTCGGATTCAGATTCATCCCTGCTATAACTCCATTGATAGGACTACTCATGTGCTTAAAGTTAAGCATGTGCTCAAGTGATTTGCTAGGTCAAGTCCAGAGTGTTCAGAACCATGCAGGATCGAGCCCATAGAGCACTACTGTGGTTTAAATCATCACCACTCCATCAGACGTTTGGACTGAGGGGTGAGTCCACAGAGCACCAGCCACAGTTATGCCTTTGAGGGTAAGTTTACACAGCCCACAGCAGCAAGTCTCAGAGCCCAGGTTGACAGACTCAGGCTTGCAGGTCTTGTGTAACAGTGCTAAAAACAGTTGGGTAGATGTTGCGGCTTGGGCTCAGAAACCTATTCCCTCCCTAGGTTTCAGAGCCTGAGCTCCAGCCCAAGCCCAAATGCCTACATAGCTACTTTTAGTGCTGTAGCGCAAGCCTGAATCTGTCAACTCAGGCTCTGAGGATTTCTGACACTTGCGTGTAGACACACCCTAACAGGCCACAGTGTGACTCTTCACCACACAAACACACCACTTATATCCTGCGTTTTTTTTCTGATTGAATTTAATTGAGCTTATTTGGGCTTATGATTTCTGAAAGCTACTATGTTTTAAAAACTCACTGGGTCTGGTTCCAAACCAGCTGCTATTCTAATTTGTTTTTAAATGGGTGGATTTAAAATTTTAATCAATAATTTCAGGACTGTTTGAAAACTAGATGCCTTATGCAAACTCAGCTTAATCTTCCTAAGGAATTTTTTTTTTAATACTGACTAGCTAATTGAGTTCAAAGCTATAATAATGCAAAGCATAATAGCTTGGTTTTATTCAGTTTTATAATCCTCTAAGGCAGTGCAGGCTGGAGGTTGAATAAATACTGGGTATATGATATCGACAGACTCTCAGATAATAAAAGAAATCAGGGATGAAAACTTCCAACTAAGATATTAATATGCAATAAAATTAAGCAAACACTTTTCAAAATCCATCAAGATCTAAAATACTTCTGGCTTATGTTGTTAACCCCTCTTGTATAGAAAAAGATAGAAATGCCATGAATTGAGGATACTATATCTTAGATATTGGTTAATTATATAGATCAATAGAATTGGCATTCCCACTATATGGTTATGCCACAAGATAATGGTGTATTAGTTCTATCAGAGGAGCTTGAATCTTACACTATATCCATCATATGGCCTTTACAGTGTTACAGGATGAAGTATAAAGGGCAGTTCAGTTGCTCAGACTCCTGTAGTGAGTTAAATAATCTTGATTTTATATATAACTTTGCACATAGCTGTATGGCACCAAATGAGCATAACTGCTTTTACATTATCCCATTTTAACTTTTTTTTCCTCTTCTATTTAAGGTTATCTTAAGGAGGTGAAGATTGTCTCATTATTTCCAAATACTACCTTGTCTTAGACTGTAAGTTCCTTGGAGCAGGGACCATTTGTTCTGTGTTTGTACAGAACCTAGGTTCCTGATCCGTGTCTGGAGATCATAGGCACTACAGTAATACAAGTAAAACTTATTTTATTACAATTTATCTGAATATTTTATTGCTATGTAATACTCTTATAAGATGCTCTCATGGGACAACTATTTGGATTCTAGTGCTCTCATTCACAGGTTCAATTTAACTTCACAGTTTCATCACCTGTATCAGAACTTTTTAATCAAACACTGTTGACTGCATAAAGGGAAACTTTCAAGGCATTATATATGTTTCTTGACCAAGCTACTGACTGGTGTTGGAAAATAAATTGCAAATGAAGAAATTTTCTGTAATTGAATACACGTGGCAAAAACTGAGCTCCTCATCTTTCCTCACAACCCCTGTACACTTTCTCCTGAACTGTTGACAGACTTCTCCACTTCTCTCAAGTTTTTGTAACCTCAATGTAAATTTTGAACTCCCTTTTCCTCCTGTTTCTGCACATGCAACTCCCAATAGATATTTCTCCACCTTATCTCAAAAACCTTACCCTTCTTCATCACTGTGCTAACAATGCTTGTTTGTGCCTTGTTTATCTTCCCCCTCGGCAACTGAAACTTCTTCCTTCTCTCTGGCTTCCTTGGTTCCCATCTCAGTCTCGTTGTCCATTTGAAATGCAGCAACCAAAATACTCATCCTGGTCTATACTCAGATCATGTCACTTCCCTCTTTTAGGCCATGATTGAGCAAAGTACTTAACCAACCGGACTAATGTTCAGGGCTGGATTAAGGCACTATGGGTGGGATCTACAAAGGAACTTAAATCTGGAGTTTAGGTGCCTAAGTCCCTGTTTTGGCTCCACTGTGATCCACAAAATTCCTGCCAAACCCGGTAGGCCCACGCTTACTTGGTACCTATGTTTTCAGAGTAAAAGTTCTCTTGGCACCTGTGTTTCTGCACCATGACACTCAGCATTACAGTGCCTAAGTCCCTTTGTGTAACAAACCCTATGGGCCTATGCCTAAAACCCTAGCTCCTGAAGTCATGTGATTACAACACAATGTAAGCTTTCACTTAATTTTTTAAAAAGTGACTAGCCCTCACAATAGTGAAGAAAAGTTGGAAAATATTACCTTAGGTTAAACAAAGCAGTGATCTCCGCCTGAGTCTGCAGAAAGCCTGAAACAATAGCTCTGGGAGGTATCTTTGACCCGTGCATCTCCATGACATTTTAACTCCAAGACCCACTGTTTTCAAGGGTGCATGAACATCACTCCAACAGACAGGTGTGTGTGGGAGGGGGGCAGCATAGGAGAAGAAGAGTACAGCGGCCCTGGCCCACCCATCAAAGCAGATACATGCCAGCTACTGGGGTAACTACTGGGGTCTTCCTGCTGCCAATAAAGGAGAAGGGGACTATGAGGACTACATGCCACATCCCCTTTCTTTAGGAGGAAAAGAGGAACTGGTTCCCCTGTCATTGTCACTCCTGATGAGGTGCAGGGCCACAGCATGGAACTGGGGTTGGGTTGCCACCTGTCCATTCCCAGGAACATCCCTTTTTTGAGGTAGCTGTCCTGCAAAATCTGTAAGGGTCTCTATATACGCTGCCAGCTGTCCAGTTGTATGGGCTCAGGATCATCCCGGATCTCCCATTTCTTTGTACCTCAGAGGTGACTACCCTTGACTGAGACCATGGTGGGCCCTTGATTATGTTGTGCCTTGGGTCCCAGATTTCCTTAGTGCATCCCTGCTCATGTGCTTAAGGTTACACATGCACCTTACTGAATCAGGGCTCTGAGCTCGGATTTTCTGAGCAGTTTAAGTAAATTAGACTCCTACTAAATTTCAATGGGATTTGGGGGTCGAACTCCCTTAGGCCCCCAATTCCTTTGAAATCCGAACCTTAATCTTTCTACTGCCTTCCTCACACTTGTGTCAAGATTTACCTTCTCATCCTTGCCATCAAAATTTCCCCCTTCTGCATTTCTGCTCTCACTTCTTACGCCTCCCCTCTTGTCAACTT